GACGAGAGCGTGAGAGAAAGGGGAGTAACCGTCCCACGCGCCTCAGCCAGATCTACACGCGACCCCCAGGATCTTAACGAGGGAGCAGCGACTCGCTCGTCTCTAAAGAAAGCAAGCCGCACGCGAAGCACTTTGATTGGCAAAAGATCGCAGTGCTCGCATTCTCCCTCGAGCCTGAGGGCAGCGTGCTCATCCCCCAAACATTCGAAGCAAAAATTATGCTGATCATTCTCCGAGATGAGCCTCTGACAAGCAGGCACGCATCTCTTCTCAGACACCGACATAATGATGGTAAGTAAAGTCTTTCTTTCTCTTTTTTTTTTTACTGTAATGCAGCAGGGAGAAAACTTGCTTCTCACAAACACACACACACACAACACACAATACGGTCCTTGAAGACAAAGAAACCTGTATTTATAACCTCTCAGGTGCATGTAATTAATGACGTCACCTACCGAGGTTATTTAAGCCAATTCTTGGCGTGTTTGACACATTCTTCACAACCGGTCGAACAAAGAATGTTCTCATAAGCTTTATTGAATGCAGCATCGAGAGTAGCTTTTGATAGGGAACAGCAGTTTCACTGTGCTTGTGCTGTATTTAGTGTTCAGTATTGGATTAGATTCGCTGTGTTTGTGTGTGTTCTAGTATATATGGTTTATGAGTACACAAATGTGCTTAATGACATGGGTACAACAACATAAACATGGTTAATGAGGTTACACTTCCTGTGTCCCCAAAAACCAAAAGGCTTAAAAAAAACACACTAAAAGGTGCTTTTTGAAATTCAGAAATTGGCAGTAGTTTAGTGTGTAATAAAACTATTACACCTATGGAGAGTCCCTATAAACCACATATGCAAGAGTGTGTGTGTTCAGGTTTGGTGCTGTACGGCAAGGATTCATGGGTCGAGTGGCATCTGAACACTCACAGCACTAAAGAGGATGTGATCAACGCCATAAGGAATCTGCCTTATAAAGGAGGAAACACACTCAAAGGTACACACACACTCACACACACAAACACTTACTCACTGGAGAACAGCTTCAAAGCTGAATCTGGATCCAGACCTGACGTTCCTAAGATTGGGATTCTGATCACAGATGGGAAATCACAGGACGATGTTCTTTCTCCTGCTCAGAGACTCAGAGACGCTGGGATTGAGCTGTTTGCTATCGGTACCAGAACAAAACCAGCTCTGACTCAGATACAGGTTTGTAAGTAAATACGTTTTTCTGACTGTGTGAATCTGCAGGAGTGAAGAACGCAGATGAGAATGAGCTGAGAGCCATCGCCTCCCCGCCGGAGGAAACACACGTGTATAACGCGGCTGATTTCAGCATGATGAGCTGCATCGTGGAGGGACTGACCAGGAGCGTCTGCGAGCGTGTCTCTGAACTCAGCGGTGGGTTTCTGAGATCTCTGTTATTTCATGATCAGGCTCATGTGGAGGTCAGAGGATTCTTCAGGAGACAGAGGTTAAGTTTCTCCTGTGTGTGTGTTTTCAGGTGAGGAAGTGGTCACGGCCAGCAGCTTCTGTGTTAATCTCTAAGAGGCGGCGAGAGCACAAGTGAGCAAACTGATGTCGAAAGCCATTAATGAATAAATGAAACATGGCATCTACGGTTTATAATTATTCAGACACAGACACCAATATTGATCCATAAACACTTTTAATGTCATACGAAATTAGCATCTGTCTTTAAATGCAGCTGTTAAACAGGAGAGCAGAAATACAGCAAACTACAGAAAAACAGAGAATACATGAACAGAAAAACTGATTTATAGATTAGATAAAAGAGAGTGAACAAATTAAAATCCTGATTTACATTTCATAATGTTTGATTTTTTTTACATTCAATTTGGCTTCCAATTTATAATATCAAGGAGAAGTTGAAGGGGTTTCTCGCAAATGTAAAGATTAAATATAATCTGCTTATATATAATATGATATATAATATAATATAATATATAGCTTAAGGGGTTTCTCTCAAATGTAAAAACTATATATAATTAGTTAAATATAATATATTTTATATAGCGTTTAATATATTTATTTTAATGAGAAATAACACAATTTTCTTCATAAAAATTGAAGTTACATGTATGATATAATATTGTATATTGATCATATTACTAAAGTTTTTAATAGTTTTCATTTTATAATCTTATATTTTCGTAAAAATTAACTATGAATAACAGCTACAGTTTATCAGTTACTGAGGCTGATCAAACATTGTGAAGATTTATAATCAGATTTATAATTCATGAGGGACAGATTTGTTAGTTGTATCTATATAAACAGATGGATATATTTCTATTATGGTCTGTTGTGATCTCTGGGTTTGATCTCCACGACGCAGAATCCAAAGTCGTCACCACGAAACACACAGAAACGACCTGAAACGAGCAGCGAGAAATTAAATGAGCCGCTTTTACATCACTGAATGTTGTTACTCTATATCAAACACTTTCATTTTTACTTCTCACCCAATAAAACTAGGTGACAAAAATGAAGATGATGATGGACAGGAAGATAAATATGAAGATGCCATCATAAGTGCTCCTGTTTGCAGCGTTATTTGGACGGCGTGTGTGCCGCGATTGTTCTGAAAAACAAACATCATCTAATGTTTTATCATTTCATACCTTGTTGTATCTTTCTTTATAATAAACTACATTTTTAAGTGTGAATTAAGTATTCAAATATTCTTTTCAGAGAGTCGTGTCATAATTATAACATTATCGACAGACTCACCAGGAGCCGGGCTGAATTCATCTGAAGACTGACAGAGATCTGATGGACAGAGAACACAGCTTAACGTGCTTATCATCTTCTATAAAGTCTTATACTTGATGCATCTGTAATAATAACAACATTATCTAATTAAATACCCATAATATCATGATATTTTACACTAATGATATACACTGCCATTCAAACAGTGAAAGGTAAATTAATACTTTTATTCAGCAAGGATGCATTAAATTGATCAAAATTGACAGTAAAGACACTTATGATATTACAAAAGATTTCTATTTCAAATAAATGCTGTTCTTTTGAACTTTCTATTCATCTGTGAATCCTGAAAAATAAAATGTATCACAGTTGTGTCACGTTTGCTACTGTGCTGGAGCGCGGAGCGAGGAACGAGGAGACGCGGAGAACATTAACAAGGAGATTTTAATAATATAATCCAACACAAGGGAACCAGGAAAACACACGTAGCTGATGAGGTTGACATAAACAGACATTCACAATACCGGACCCAAACTGATAACATGGAACACTTTATAAACAAATGACATGACGATGGGATGACGAGACACACCTGGGATCAATAGAACTGAAAAGGGGACACCTGGAACAAATAAGGACAGGAACGGGAAGGACCAAATATGGGCATGGAAACACATGGGGAGCAAAACACACACAAAACACAGAACAGAGTCTGACATTTCCACCAGGGAGGGGGGATGAGCACCCTGGAGGCTGGTGCAGAACTGGGAGATGGGGAATACCTCCAGGGCAGATCAGGCAGTCCAGGGTGCCATGGCAGCACAGGGAGCTCAGGGGCCATGGTGGAGCAGGGAGCTCTGGGAGCCATGGCGGAGCAGGCAGTTCAGAGCGCCATGGCGGAGCAGGCAGACTAGGAAGCCATGGCGAAGCAGGTAGTTCAGGAGGCCATGGCGGAGCAGAGAGTCCAGGAGGCCATGGCGGAGCAGGGAGCTCGGGAAGCCATGGCAGAGCAGGGAACTCAGGGGGCCTGGCCTTGGCACTCGGCCCAGCCTCCACGGACGGACCCCTACTACCCCCCCCAAAAAAAAATCCTTGGGGAGAATATCGTCTTTAGAGGCCCTCCGTA